TTTGTATCCCACGCTTTTTGTGAACTATGCGCAGTGAGATCAGAGGACAAATGATTCTATTGAGCCATCTTTTTCCCAGAAATTACTTGGTTCATGTCGGAACACTAGCGTCGGTATGTCAGTGTCAAATCCATCATTTCTGAGAATATGGAAACACTACTCCTCCAAGTTAATTAATTCGTTTAGGATAAGAGCAAAGAGTCTCCGAGTCTCATCATAAATGAGTCCAAAAAAGTGACGAAATTTCATATTTCGACACGAAGTATACGGAACTTGCACTAACATTCATCATATTGCATGTGAAATGTGTCGGATATTAATGGAAATCCGAAGTCCACTTACCACTCATCGCATCATAGAATGAACAATTAACCAGCAAATGACACACTTTTCCTCCATGCAACCTAGTCGCATAATAATTGAGAGAAATCGATCCATTAATTCTGCTCAACACGAATTGAGGACACGAATAATTCAAGTAAATTTGTCACAACAAAGGTTGCCTTAAAGTTGGGCGGTATTATACCCAAAAGTTGATGGAACTGAACGTGGCAGAAGTAACTACACATAATTTTCACGCTTTATGTCGTCGCAAACGGTACACGGGTTGGGAGCATTCGTCAAGTGATGCAATATCTCCGAATTAGGTCAGAACACGTTTAATCTATTGATGTGGTTGGTCACCACATCACAGCAATAATTAAATTGGTCCATGCAGCTCTCTCGCACAGCTTGCACGAATCATCTCATATATAATTTGGGGAACTTCGTGGTTTCAGCATTCACTTGCTTGCTTAATAGCTTACTTATTAGTTTACTTAGCTACGTACGTGTTGTCCCGGCCTGTTGTAAACTTGTTGGCTTTCTTATTGGGGAGAGAAAATAATTAAATGTTAAGTACAATTAAAAACAGAGTGAAAACAGAGACCGGAGGAAGTCGGAAGATGGCAAAGTCATAAATAACATTCATTCAACCAAGATAAGCTTTAACAGTCAACATGAACACCGGGAGTCGGGTTCTTCAGGGAATGGGCCTATCCAACACAAAAAACGGGTATTTTGACAGTAAGTACATAAAATGTGTGGCGTATACAATGTGCTTCAGAGAGAGAGAGATGATACTTGATAGCTAGATGATCTGTGTAATGGGGGAGACATATGAGAAGCCCATTTGGTAAAATACGCGATGCTCTCTTGTTGGATAAGGGCTAAACCGACACCCGGACATTTACGCTGTTAGAAAATATCGTCATTACGGACATTTTCCGACGTGCTTTGTTTTAACGTTACGCTGTTACTAGTGTCGTAAATGTCCAATTTTAATTAGAATTCTGCTCACCCATGACCAAAATTTGTATGTACGTGTAGCATGTCAGCGACAAAAATATATACAAATATACCGCCGTACATTTAATAAGACAGGAAAATTGGGCTCTGAAATTAGCATGATTGCACTTTTTTCTTGTCTAAATGCAGTCTCGTTTTAAAAGACAAAGTCAACAAATGGAGCTCAAAAAGCGAAGAACGGTCGAATAGCAATGACGAATGTAGTTAGGAAATGGAAGAAATAAGATTCTGTAAAAATACGGGACAAGATTTTCAGTTGTACCAAAAGGATACGGACCATTAGATAGGATTCTGATTTCAGGATGTTGAATGTATCGAATCCTCCGTTTTAATTATGCTAAATTTGGAATGCCGTTTTTGTTCAGCTTCCCTTGACTTTTTTATATTTTTTATTCAGATAACTTTGAAACTCTCGTATCTAGAAACTTAACACGAGTCGTGTGTGTGACAAATGCGCCGTTCAACAATTCTTGGAAGTATTTATTCTCTACAAGGACAAAAAATTGAACGGATCTTGCTTAATTACCGTTTTCCATGCTTAATTTAATATTCAAAATCTCGTCTATGCAGCATTTAATGATAAAAACATGAAACATCAGCCCGCTTTCCAATCAAGAATTAAATCTGGCTGTAAATGTCAATCAAGAAAACTGTAGTAACTACCCACGAGCAACCCAGTTATACGAATGGCACAACTTGTCTGTCCGTCCATCAGTGCAAACAAGAATCTTGAAGAAGAGGAGCAGCAGCAATCTCGTATAATCTCAGATCTCGATTTGGTCAAAAGGAGAGACAACCACGGCTACATCATCGGCTACCACTCGCCCCCAGAAGAAGAATAGTTAAATATGAAGACTTTAGATAGCAAGATAACACCCCGACACATGACCAAATTAAACAGCCGAATAACAGAGCAGTTTGAAATTATTTTCTGTTCTTCCCAAATAAAAATGATAACGCAGCAATTCTAGATAAGTTGTGACCTGGCCCAATAATTAAGTCTTGAAAAGACTCACTCCGAAAATCGTGTATATTTTTAACCGTTCGTTTCGTATAATGCAAGGATGTGGGAAAGCGAATAATAATAACAAGGACCACCCAGCAGCAACACCAGTTCGCTTTTTAATGGTACATGCCTAACAACGTTGATTCCATATTTGTAAGCTGCGTCAATCATAAAAGTAAAAATAAAGACGCGGATTTAATTTGGTCAATTTGTTGCCATATATTTTTTCTCCGTTGGAACTCAGAATTAGTCAGTGATTATTGTAATTAAAGAGTAAATTCAGGTGTGCATTGTTTCCTTCCAACTTTCAGAGATCTTTCTAAATCTGAAATTTAGTATTTAATTACAGAGATTTTGATTACCGTAAACAATTGAAATCCAAAAATGTCCGTGCACATACAGTCTTAAATATCTTCAAAATATGACATTGGATGAATTTGGTAGATAAATTAAAATTTATTAGCATTTTAGGACTATTCGTCGTGATGAATTTCACAGTTACGGTATCGGCAGCAATCTCAGAATGTACTTAAAATTATTTATTGCAGTGATGACCATGTAGACATGAGTAGCAAACGTACATAAGTATTTAGTAGTTGATCATAGGTGAACAAAGCAGCCGTGTAAGTATAATAATATAATATAATTAGCCAACCATTGCATCTTTAAATCCTTTACGCACAAGCAATTCGTAAATATTTAAATATCTTCATGAGCTTGTAAATAGTGCAATTTCCATCACATCACTTACTCCTTGTTTCTCAGAAGCCGTCCTTCCTTTAATTTCTTCAATTTTTACTTGTATTTAAATAGAGTAAACAAATTAACGAGTGTTGACCCTGCTCAGGCAGTGCAGCAACAAATAAAAAAAACCTTCAGAGATAACCAGAGCAAAATCTCGTTTCTAAATGAAGACGACTTAATGGTCACCAACCACCAATCAATATAAATAGTCTCCCACACAATATTTTTCCAAAAGAGCTTCTGCAGTTTCCCATCAAATTGCTTACAAGTTTGGTAGTTTGCCACTTAATTGAACAATTAATCTTTTCGAATTGCAAGCTGAATGAGCGACTAAAAGGTTTTAATTGAGTAAAATTCAAATGTCTAAATATTTAACTGGCAACAAAGTTGTAAACATGAACAAATAAGGTCAACAATGACAAATCCTCTTTTGACTCGGCTCCCTAAAATGTGCCGCTATTAGCTGTTTGGTTTAGTCTAATGCAATTATTTGCTCATAACATTTCTATTTGCAGGTACTCAACCAGTTTCTAATGGTGTGGAAACATTAAATTTCTCATTTAAAAAAAGTTATTTGATCCACAAACATGATACGAGCACAGACAATGCATCAATACCAGTTTAAAATAGTTAACTATAAAAATCAACCCTACTGCTAAACCAAAGCTCAACAAAGGTCGAACCCAAAGAGTTGTCACTCCATCGATGAATTCACTTTATGCAGGCAGCCAGCAGCCACCCTGACTCCACACGATGCTAATTAATTTTCTTATTCATTACGCTTGCAAGATGAGCGAGGATCGTTTGCGAATGAGGAAATGATTGGAGGTTGAAAGATATCGATATTATTGACAGAATGAACTTGCAAAAAGCTTGTGCTGAAAAAAAAGTGAATCGCATGAGCTGCATCTCTCTCAAAGTGAAAATTAATGATGATGACGACTGTACAGTAAACAGCCACCAGCAAATCAACGCATGAACCATTTCATTTGTTGGACACTGATCGTCGTCTTCATGTCGAGATGATGTTTTATTATTTGAACCGTGATTCTCTCTGCTGATTACAATTATGATATTGCTACCCGTGCACTAAAAGTGGAGTCATTGTTACTGTTTGGCGCATATAAAATATGTGTATTATTGCGTACAAATAAGGCATATATAGTTTTACGATGATAGGGATACATTCGTTTTTCATGTTTTTGTTGCCGTTGTTGCAGCCATAATTATTCAGTGATTTATTGCACACTATTAAAACACAAAACTTTGACAATGAACTCTCCCGTTCAGTGGCAAAGAAATTCAATCCGAACAAGGATAATTTAGGAGAAGGAATGTTTTCAAAATTTATTTGAAGTTCAACAACTATCTCTCTTTTTCTACGTGCATAACTCAATGCACAATTACACATGTGAGGATCCCGTGGCATATTGCAATCACTGGCGAAACTGATGATGAACGCCTCAGGTGACGAGTGTACAATTTGAGACGAGGTGCATGAAAAATGCCACCTATTCAATTCCTCTCTCTCTCTTCCGACCAGTTGAGATGAGAGTTGAGATTCAATGTTTCAGAAGAAGTTCATATTCATGTGTTAGTAATTAACGAGAGAATAATTAGTTGGGATGGAGTGGGAAGAAACCGTTTGCCCACTAATGCCATAAATTGCAATTTGGTCACTGACAATTACAATTTGAACAATTGACAATGGTAGACATGCCAAGACCGCCTTCTCCATTGTTGGATCATGTTCTCCCTCATTCATTTTATCCATCGGTTGGCTTGTTTTCTTCTTATTAGTTTTATTGCCATGTGCATTTCAATTTCCAAGCAAATGCGTTTAGATTAAGAGACGCGAATCAATTATGCAATGAGAAAATGAGAGGAAAAAAATGATTGTTTCTTTTTAAATTTTTTCCAACACTTAAAATCGTTTTATTCAGTAATTGCAGTTATCGATACAAACATTACGCCATCAACATTTTTGATGGTATCATTCTTCCACAGTGTGTGTGCATTTATAATATATTACGAGTTTGTATGTTTGATCTTTATTCCGACGCATCAATACAACTGAAGACTAATAGTTTATAACAGGATATATAATATTGATGATGATAACAGTACGAGTATAGCATATAGCATTAGACGAATGGGCATTAAATAAATTCACAGTAGCAAAACAAGACATGGATTGTCTCCATGTTCAATTAAGTGACTAAAACTAGCAAAATACGGCGATTAATTAACTGTAAAAGCATGATACAATACATTAAGTTCATTATAGTGTAACTATGCAAATTGGAATTCCGACTACAATCGACGAATAATATTATACGAGCGACGAGGAGCGGAGACGACGAGTTATTATTTTATTATTTTTATTATTAACTAATGACTTAACTTATCTTAATGCAAAATCGTCATCGTCATAATTGCAGCGTCTTCTTCGTTTTGCGTTCTTCCTTTCTTCCTTCTCTTACCACTATTATATAACATTACATTCTGTGAGAGTGGGGTCGTGGTGGCAAAATCGCTCGCAATTTTTTAATTCAGGTAGGGCGGAGAGCAAATTCCTTATGCACAGCTATAACTCTACTTGCAAAATAAATACTTAACAATTGGTTGGTACGACCTGTGTATATACTTCTTTAAAAATTCATCAGTGCTATATCATGACGACAAGTGTCGACATCTTCTTCTTACATTTTATGCATAAATAATAAGACATCAAGATTTAACCATTGCATATTAACGATTTAATAATTAAATTTTAAATTAAGTTTTACATTTTTAGGATTTATATAGCAATACAAAAACTAATCTAAATAATTATCAATGTTTTTGTTTTACTTTTCCGTACAACAGCAGCAGTGCAGCAGCCTCTGGTACTTTCGCAGTTCTCATCGTGAGAGAAATTCTAGAAATAATTTCTAATAAGAATTATCTTTTTTTATCGTTAAACTTTGAGTCCTAGAGATGTCATCTAAAGACTACTTGTGCTACATGCTAAGTAATAAATACAATTTAATTATACTTAACTAATACTTAATGACCTTATGTATAAACTAACCGATATTATTCAAAAGTGGCGAGGTTATAATTAATTTTTAGAATCTATGCAAAAATAACACAAAACATGACTTGAAGTTCAGATTTCAGTGACCGTAGCATAAGTTTGATATTGCTACAGCATGATTGAAGCATAAATACGGACCTTGATTGGATTATGCGGTTAGTCACCAAAACAATCAAGGTGATTGAATGGTAACATAACCGTCTCGAAACTAATTCAAAATTAAGTTGGCCGTTTGGCTTTGGTCTGGGTCACATGCAGAGGAGAGTTTGTAAATCATATGGAAAATTTGTGTACAAATTGCTAACCGAAACTATATTAATTAAATAGTTGAGATATGTAAAAGATCAAATCCATTCAAAATCCACAATTATTTTCGCTAAACTGAGAAAAATCGTAGGCAAAATCTTATCAGCTTTCCTATAATGTCAACTTCAAGTTGACATTTCAAAGTGCCATTCACGTAGGACGCAACAATTTGATAAAATATTGCTCTAGAAAATAATTGTAATCGTATCAAACCAACACGACAATAATAATCCGTTCATTCTTCAACTTTGTTGGCATGCTAAAGAGCTTACTAATGACTCGATAAGTTACTCGGCTTTTCTTAAATATTTCCGAGCTTTGACTGATTTTAAGTAATATTGTTGTAGTATAAAAAATTGAGACGTTTCTAAAGAGTTAAATATGTGGCCGTATTATTTTTAGAGTAATAAATCGAGTTCCTTTTTAGTAGTGCAAAATAATATTGTTCGCCTAGGAGAAGAGGCAATGTGAGACTGGGTGAATTGAATTGTAAATACTTTTGTTCGTCCAGTAGTTGTTTTGTTCTCTGTCAGTAGTATACGTACGTTAACTGTGTTTGTTTGGTCTTTGTGCAGTAATTAAAAAGGCCATTTCATGTATTGTATTCGTCTCGTTTGGTGAATATGCAATCAGAATGGAAATTAACAACGAAGTAGTTGAAAAGAGTGAACCTGATCTATATTTTTAGGGTAACTGGGCAATTAAGCTAAAATGGTATTAAGATCACATTTATTTTCACATGCAAGTTCAAGTTCCAAATCGGCTTGTTTGATGTACAAAAACAATAAAGGTTACTTTTTACGCAAACTATTACAAATATATTCATCGTTTGCTTGACAGTGGACAACAATATTTTTTACGCTGCCAGATTTAATTTATGAGTGATCTGAAAACCATTACTAGCATTTTTCCGCCTATATAAATTGATTTGTTGTTTGATGAGGTTGTCGTAATAGGCAATTAATCACAAAATCTAGAGCTGCCAAAAAATCCTAGCCAACACATTGTCAGAGCTCTCAATGTGCCCCCTCCATGCCATTTCCATTATATTGCAATAAATGGACCTATATTTGGCAACCACTGACTTAATCTGATCTCATAATTAATTTGCATCCTGACAACTTCCTGGCATATTCCCAATGATCACTAAAATTGTATCCCAAGTCCAATATTTAACTGATATTTACCTCCGTGCATTTAATTTTGTAATTAATTGTCTCAGATCTCGTAAATCGAACACACAAAACTGTACTCTGCAATTGTAAATGTGCAAGTCAATTAAACCCTTTCATACAATGCGGTATTAAAAAAACAACCGTTATTACTGACACATATCATAGAAAAATCCAAAGATCCAGGTCCATATCTGTCTACTACTCCCGTAAGTGGTATTCACATACTAAATCTTTATCCCATTTTTGTAACAAACTAGAAACTATTCCCCGTCAGCGCAACACCAATTACAAATCCTTTTCTTTGCGAAACTGATAACAAAAAATTGTAACGTGCACAAATTTAGCATAGTATTTATTAATAACAAAAAAAAACAATGAAATTAGTCCAAATTTACTAAATCATAGGAAGTCATTGGGCCTAAAAGATATGCCCAAATCCATGTCAGTGCCAGAACAATATACATAACTAATTTAGGTGTAATATGTATTAATAACAAACAAGTGGAAAATTAATTTTTGTCATATTTTTGTAACGAACAATTCAAACCGTATTATCGTTCAGAATCCAATTTGTCCCTCTTCTCCTAATAACGAATTACATGGTAGTATAGAATAGCACTCATCCTCATCGTCCATAAATGCACGAGTATAAAACACCAAAATTGCCTTTCTATTGTCACTTTCTCAATATATCCTACTGATCATTATCACTTGATACTGACGACGACACACTTTTCTATACTGCTGAAGGATTAATTATTTTATATTTTATATCATATCACGTACGAGTAGGATGAAAAGATGAGTTTAGTTTAATTTCAGATCCGGATTTTAGTGAGTTTTTTCTTCGTTTGCGTGACGAATGAGTGACGGAGACGAATGTGCAGTTGTTTGCATATTAACAATGCAAAAGTATAAAATGAGGATTGATTTTGAGACTTGGTTGCACTGTAATTTTTTTAATAGAAAAGTCCGATGCACGTTGAGATGATGAAAGCTTCATTGAGTACTTGTGTTGGTTGGTTCTTGTTGGTCGTTGGTACTTTAAGTGCTTAATGATTTAGGCTACCAACAGAAATAAATATTGATAACACTGCTGAGTACATTTTAGTCACTTTTTTTAAGTTTTTATGTCAGTTATAACGTCATAGTTTCGTTAACTTAGATAGTTTATGAATTTATAATAAATAGTGGCAACGTCACTTCGCTTTCTTAAATTGTATGCACTTTATGATCCAGTAATTGATTCTGCTTGGTACACCTGCAATATTGAAAATACTGATTAAGGATTTATGCTAAATTTGGGAAAATGCGCACGAATTAACATTAACAGTTAAGAATCAAGCAACAACCAGGAAATGGACTAATGTCATATTCACGTAAATATGAGGATAAAATATCTTGATAAGTTTATGAATAATATTTGGAAATTTTTAAATAGTAAGGCACGCGAGATCTGCAGCCGTATTTAAGGAAGGTTCTATTTAAGTATATGCATAAAATAATTTAACAGTAAACTAGGTATTTCATGTCATTGGACTGATTTGTACATCAAGTACTACTCTTGTGTTCTATAAATAAATCCGACTCCTTCTGGCTGGAAATGACCATTTCCTGCTTATATTGCAGATTTCGAAAGCCAGAAATAAAGAATATTCTTCCTTGAAAAATTCTGTCTCCATTGACAGTAGAACAAAGTTTGACAAATTAATTATTTCACATTACTTCACCAACTACGAGTACATAGAATGAACAAGCTCTCAATTCCTTTTACTCATTCATTCATAGAGTTCAAATGATATTAATTCGGAGCGAATTGGCAAAAACAACTATTTATATAATTCTCAGACTACGCGATGCTACGCAATGAAATACAGATTAATTAACGAAAACGAAAAGAATTGAAATAACCTTCATGGCATACGCCCTCATACATACATTTTTATTTTAGTCCCGTCGTTCTCATCAGAAGTAACCATGTAAGTTGTGGTGTAGAGTTTAGTACTTTAATCAATTAATTCGATTCCTGTTTGAATTTTTTTATTATTTTCTGCAGGAAATGGTTAGCCTATTTCTACACAAAAAATTGTCTAAAATTGATAAGCATGATTTCTTTATCAAAATCTGCGTAAACCTGCTCAAATTTTCTGCTTAATTATTTTTGCAGGCGAGTTATGGTTACTCCTACAGAATTCGGCACAGGGATTGGTAACTCGTGTGTTTTAAAATTTCGATAAAATTGGACTTGGACTCTGCCTTGGTTACCAATAAAGCCACGTGGAATGAGGGATCGTCGTATCGTCTCTGCAACAACATTTCATGTATCTGCAATATTTCTTTCCTTCACTTCAAAGTTGAAACATTTCACGCCTATTATGCACACAAATACCGTTAATGCACTCGTCGTTTCATGTGCAAAATGTAAATAAAACAAAGAAACGCATGCAGTGCGCGTCTCTAATTTTAGTTGATGTTGGCCAGAAGCAGGACCACATGCATAGGAAGGAACATGTATACATTCATCGGTTGCTGCAATCCAATGCATTCCTCCAACTGCAAGGAATACTCAAAGATGCACTTTTTGACACACACTAAATTATTTAAGTTTCTAGCCCAACACATTAACCAGAGTATAAAAGTTGGGTTATAAAATTGGTAGCTTGGCAAGTTTGCATCATCAAGCATTGACCAAAAAGTTTTTTTTTGAAAATCCTGAACGTCATTTGAGTCAAGATACCTCACATGGCTAGACATTTATTTATTTTTTCATAAAATAATTTATTTCCTCAAGCATAGATTAGGCTCACTCAGGTTGAGATATTAAATTGCGAATACACTATTCATAAATATCTGTTGGCCTTAACACTCTTCATGTTTAATACTTGCTGCTAATGGTAATGATAATGAAATGGTTTCAAGGACTCGCACGCATTGAATGGATTGCCGGAACCTTTTTATTATTTTATACGCTCAAAGCCAAGACTCAATCGCTTATAACGTGCTGTCGTATTGTTGCATATTTATTAGAATTTTTTATGCCTATCCAACTCTTTCTTCTGCTTCTTCTTCTTCATGCTATCCGTCTGCTCTTGCTGCTGCTGCTTTTAAAGAACATAAATTCTTGGCACTTTTTATACCGTGTGAATGACAAATGAATTACCTTTTATAGGTAGATCGCTGCTGGGGATGCGATACGATAAGTTCTTACGACACGAGTGGTGACGATAATTACTATCACTACATATTTATAACTGTGGATTTTCTTTGACTGCAAATTAGCTGGAAAGTAGTGGCCTTCCAAAGTATTTACTACGCTATGTTTATGAACAACAATAGCAGTCTGGATAAGCTTATTGAGACTTATATTCGGCAAATATGACATGATTTTTAAAGATAAAAAGAAGGAGAAAAAATGCAATTAGTATTGTCAGTTTTAGTCGTCCACATAAAAATCCATCGTCAGCTGAAGCTAAGGAATGTTTTGCTAAGCACTAAAAATAATTGACAAGTCGTGATTGACATCAATGAGACAAAACATTTGTGATTTTGTTCTGAATAAGCACTCAAGTAATTTAGACTATTAGTGATGATTTTACCAATTTTAGTAGTCGTTTATCCATGGGCTACTTGCAAACGAAATGCGATGAAAGTCGAAATGAATGTGGGCGTGTGATAAAGACTGGAGAGTTTAAAGTCAAACTTGTCAAAAGGAACAAACGAGGAGTGATCGAAATATAACACGAAGCTTGTGTAATTAGGGACTGAGTTATGTACAAATTTGTTAACCTTTGATGTTTTGTTTGATCCGTGCAGGGTTTCCATCAATGATTCCAAAATGTAATTAGACCAATAATATCAAGATATTTGAGTGTCAAGGGGACACCTTATGACACCCACACAGAAGACTACATATTCGCGATAACATGAATACATTTCCAGGTTGCTTTATGAATTTCTCGTTGCAATTGAATGACTTGAAATGTTTAAAACCGGACTTGCCTGGATGGGAAGGAAAGAGCGAAATGACTAAGAGACGACGCGGGTTGACTATGAAGCGTTGTTATTGGTAGTGTGCAGCAAGGGGAGTTTATGGGACAGGACCCTGATTGTTCCGTTGGAGGTAGGTTGACCCGAGAGGGAGTTGATTGCCAACGCGCTGCCATTGTTGTTCCCCTCATTGTTCAGTAAATGTCGGCCATTCAGCGTTCCTGTGGTCGTGGTCACAGTCCCATTTGAGGCCGAGTGCGAGTGGCCATTGGTAAGAGAATGAGAGTGACCGTTCATGTGCCCATTAGTTAAAGCGGAGCAGTTGCCGTTCGCCGAAATTCCGGAGGCGCAAGAAACACGGAGTTCGCTCTTCGACTCGCCGCTGGAGCTTCCGTTTGTGGCCGTGGTGCCACTGAGACCGTTGCTCACGAGGGAGCTGCTGTTTCCGTTGTGAATGTTCGTCTTGGAACTGGTACGGAGAGCGTTGGATCCGCTTGCAGGAACTGAGGCACTGCTGTCATTCTGAAATTCAAAAGAAATACAAAAAAGTTTATAATTGATTCTTAAATGGACCTAAACATGGAAGTCGATACAATATTTCAACCGAGTATCTTAGCATTTAAATATGCACATGACTTGTTATATGTAGCACCGATAATACCGTTATGGCGGTGGTACGTGTGCGGGTGAGGATGGTGATGAGAGTTCATTGTTGTCAATCACACTTTATAAACACCACGGGTGGATATCTGATAACCCGTGTTTCATTTCCTACGTCAGTTGTATTACAAAACTAGTAATACAAAACTAGCGACTCGTTGAATTGCGAACAGAGGAAATTACTTAACCTCAATCTTGCTCATGGGCTCAATGTCATTTCTTTTCTCCCTGCACGTTTATGTACATGCATACAATTCACTTCATGATCACAAAGCCCCTTGGAAAAACTTTTCCTATGATGCTGTAAATTCTACTGCTGCGTAACTACATACATAGGTTTGCTCCGAGGAGGAGAAGAAAGTAAGGAAAACGCATCGTTCCATTTTATTTTCACATCTTTTTCTACTTCCAGCAGAGCCATCCGACAAAAAATGTTTTAGTTCCCCGTCGTTATACGATACATAGATTGACAAATCGCCAAAAATTTAGTAATTTTGGCTCAACCCTCTCCCACCACCCTCGTTCTATGAGCGTCTATGTGACCTAGTTTCTTGAGCAGGTTGTGGATCATCTTATGCAGAAAAAAACCGCTTCTTCTAATGTCATCCTTGTTACATACTTGTATGCGATAACACCAAGGTGAGGTTTAATGCTAACTACAAAGGCCATGCATGCAACATAACGAGTTCTTAAGATGTCGTCCAAAACAATCCTTAGCAAACCAACTGTGAAGAGAAACCAATAAACCAAAAAAAATCAACGTCGTCCCCAGAAAAAGTAATAACGGACGGATGACTGACATCAAAGGCGTTAGACGCAATAAGCCAACAAATCAAACGCAGACAGTCCTAGATATATAATCCAGGGTTCCCCGTCACGTCACCTACAGAAAACTCCATTTAGTTCTCCCAAAGTAAGCAAGTTTTCGGAAATGCGCTCTTCTTCTTGTCAACCCATTCCACTCAAGTTTGGAATCTACAAGTAAGTAGCACAACGCAAACGTATGAAAAGTTTGTGCTGTCCATTCCTCAGAAGGTATACGTAAGAGCTGAAATTTGAAATTTTCAAAGAGAGATGAAGGCTAGTAGTTTCAGCAGTAGAACTACATGTCAAATGTCAACTTTAACTTGGATTTGTCTATCTTTGAGAGGTTCGGGAACAAAATGAGGATCTACGCCATCGAATTGGACCAACTGTGGCGCATGTTTGCAAAATGAATATTTCGATTTTATAAGAAAAAATCCATCTCCTGAGATGACAAGTTCTGCATAGGCTATAATTTCACTCGAATCCAACCTTATATAAAACATACCTTTGATAGAAAGACATTGTAAATAATTTTGATAATCCATTGCCCAACTACTTTCAAAGAAAAAGCTTCAACCATCATCCAGTTTAATCTCAAGTTTTGAATACTTTCTTGGAACTTGTGACGACTGCCATTTATTAAGCGAAACAAAAAGAGACGAAACCTCAAACAAACGTACAAAAGAACACAATTTAAAGTTTCGACTTAAAAAGTTTGAGAGCTCAGTCGCTGGGGCTGCTGTTGAAATACTGAAACTGAAGAAGTAGAGCTAGAAGAAGCGAGTTGAAGGTGATAAATTTGACAAGTGGTGTTCAATCCTAAATTCAACTTCTCTCGTCCCCAACGAAACTGGAGAACAGATGCAAAGTTTAAATTCCTCCATATTTGTTTGCCATGTCTCCTTGGGAAGAAGTTGCATGTTTGACAATCTGAAGAGGAGCAAAAGAAGAGAGAGAGAGAGAGATGCACGAAATGAGAGCTTATCTTGTTTAAATAATTGGCAGGCAGAGAAAACTTTTTGAGGATGCCGGGCTGGAAATTCCAACATTTTCCATAAATAGAGCTGCACACTCAGAGCAGATGATTGACATGGATTAATTGAAACTCATCAGAGTGTGGGACGATGTCACACCACTCAAAGCAAGAGAATGGAACAATTGAATTGCTAATTTATGAACGACTCTCTCTCTCCATAAGTAAGAAAGACAACTAATATTTGACAAAGTGAACCAGTTATGTAGCTGCAGGAACTTGAGTATGAAACTTCCAGCAAGCAGTGAAATTCAAACAATTGCGTTTCCTCGTCAAAAGAAGATGAATTTTAAATCCCTCGAGTTTATAAATTTCAGCGACATGTCCCGAAATATATTTTGAGTAAGAACGAAATCTGACGAAAATCGTCACAACTTTATGAACATTTTTACAACTTGAATCATTTCTATGTAGCTTTTGTGCTCCCTCGCATTGCTACAAATTAATTTCTTGGAAATTTCAATTATGCATGGCTCAGTGATCCGTAGAGTAAATAATAAAAAAGGATCTTGTCTATTTTTGTGCAGAGCCAACAAACCCTTGCAAAAAAGAAGGGCAAATGTTGCAAATCCAGTAATTAAGTATGCATGCATACCAGCAACGAAGCGTTATACTTTTGTCGTTATCAAGAGTGTTTCAAACTTAAGAAATACTTGTCCTTTCCTCGTGCCCGTTAGAACAAAACTTTGTAATTAGTAATTTAATTAGGATGAGTAGTCAGGGCAAATATAAACATTTTTGGCTTTGTTTAACGAAGTAAATTTTTACAGTATTCCTTGACCTCATTTCGCAGCAGTCGGTACTTTCACTAGAATCTCTTTTTCATCCCTCAAACTTTTCGTCCATGGCTTCACTTTTATACAAAGCAAAGAGAACAAACTTTCCAGAGTCCTTTCAACATTTCTCTCTCCTTGCTTTCCCCTGTTCTCATCCAATACTCGAATTTGAATGTTTTCCTTTTAAATGTAGAGTGATTCATTGTTTTGTACACTTGGAAACTTTTTTCAATTTGACTAACATTTTACTTTTGTCACAAGTAAATAAATTCAAAATTTACAGAAAAAGTATCTCACTCAAATTCGTTATTGTGATTATTACGACTAATGGCAAGTAACTGACAAATACTGAAATAGAAATGTACAGACCGACTATCATACAAATGTTGCAATCAGATCCACTTTTCTACAGATATTCGTAAGACATACATAAGTCCTCCAATGTATATACTCTTAGTTTGGCACACAAACAATTTCTCAGTATTTGAAATTTAATTCGTATGCAATTGTGTATTTAGGAATATTGACAATTCGCAAAAACGAGCCTCCCAAACGTGTAATTGAATCTCGAGAGAAATGATAAACTTAAAATTATTTATTTTGAAGCATTTCATTCTCAGTTCACACAAACTAAAACTTCAAAAGCAGGGGTGAAAATACCCAGAATTTAGGTGATGTTAAATGCAGTTACATGAACTAACAAGCATGGTCCCCAAGGGCAAGACACCCACTTGAAAATTCCAGCATATTCTTTTCTTTCTCTCCTCCTTCCCATCCTAATGAGTGAACAGACAGACGGAAATGAATGTCAGGGTTGGAAGGATATTGCAAAATCCAGAGAAAAATCTACAAATTTAGCTCACCCTCTTCCATCACTTCACAATTGCAGGATCCACGGAGGATACGTACAAAGTCCACGGTAATAGAATAAGATATTTTACAAGTATTCTGCCTCTGAATTTTTCATGCCCGGTGGGTTACATCCAGAAAAGAAAGCATTGCTTATTATTATTTAAAAAGTTGCGAGGTCGAGTGTAACCACCAAGTGAATGTGAGGTTAGAATGAGAGACCCTCTGCGCTTCGGTTTACGTATGCATGACCAAGATTCAATGCCTCAAGCCATTCCAATTTACTCGGAATAAATGTGGGCGTCGTGTAACATTTCTACACGAGTCTTTTCCGCCAAGAATTATCAAAATTTTGCATGCAGAACAGAAAGTAAATACGTCATCATGACATTGGTACAACAACAATGGCGGAGAACATGAAAGGTTTAAAGAACACAAGAACATTACCTTGTCGGCCGGTGTGCGAGGAAGGCGACGTCTTAACCAAGGATGACGCAGGGCAGCGGAAGGAGTAAGGCGAGTGTTTGGATCCCATTCTAAACACCGACGAATGAAATCCACAAACAACGGGTCGTCGCAGCCTTTAAGTGCAGTCTGAAACATTGGAAAAATAACGTTTTAAATTAAATTCGTCAATTATAAGACATTTTTTTTCTAGGATATGGTGGGAAAAATTATTTTGAACAATAAACTGAAAAGCCATTAAATTGTTCTTGACCTACAAATTACATAAATTACAATTAATTCTAAATTAATTAAATCTAAAAATTCCTTATCTTTGGGTTTGTATTGTTCATACCTAAAATAAATACCTACTCCTTTTACCCTTAATCTACTTCCTGGAATATTTTTTCAAAACTGAAATGGAACAAAAAATGGAAAACTTGGAAATATGTAGCAGAGCATAAAAATCTGAGCTGAACGTTTTTGCTCTCAAACTCCTTTGAAATCCTTTTAAACACAAAGCCGATCTGGTTAAAGTGGAAAGAACAAAAAAGGATCAGCCACAGGAAGAAGCATGGACAAAGACAAAAGATCATCTTGGTAAAAAGATACAGCATCCCATTAAAAAAAACTACATGAGGATTTCGACTTTTGCTCTTAATTGACAGCGCAGCTATGTATGTAGCCATGTACACCTGCAGATTTTTAAAAAGCCACATTACTTGTTGGTCAAAAGGAAACGAGCATCAATAAACAATCCACCCGCAATCTATCCACCCACCTCCTCAGTGAGAATGAACTTGAAAAACTGTATAGAATTATTTATTAAATCTAAATGTAACAAACGAACGAATTGTTTTATCCTTCTACGGTAAATATAAGTATTACTAGTCTTAACTTTGATTAGCAGTTCACCTGTTCATGTCCAACTTGACACAATCATGCAAAGCATTAATGCTCAGAACATGTACAACGTATAAACAATACATACACACATACTCAATGATTTGCAATGAAGTTACACCTAGCGCATACACACAAGGAAACAGAAACTAACGAAGAAACATGTTTTAGTAATAAGTTGGCAACAATTGTTAGGGTTGGTCACAGCTTATTAAGGAAACATACACAGCTATTCATCCAATAACGAGTGAAGACTACGCCATTCTTGTCAACTGTCATACGATAACTAATCATGCATTCGTAATTTACTCTCTGAGATGATTAAATACTATAGAATGTTATTAATAACGTGAATGTACAATCTCATTCAACACAACTCATGATAAACACAGCATAGGAATAAGTCACGTTGCGATGTGAAATATTATTGTAAATGGATACATTTTTTGTCGCCCTGCTAAATGATAGGGATAGAAATTTATGGAGGAAAGAGGTTGAAAAAATACACTGTTATTGAGCTTTGTGAAAACATTTGCCCATAAAAACCAAAAAACCAAAAACGTTATTTCATTGTGAGAAAAAGTGACAACCAAATCTTAGAGGAGGGAGAGACAAAAAAAGATGAAATGTGGTATTGGTTGGCTTGAATTTAGAAAACTTAAATAAAAGTGGTAAAGCTAAATTAGTGCCAAAGTGACACAAGATGAGACTCACCTGGAGGTCACGAGATCCAGGAGGTCCTCGGAGCTTCCCCCGGCGAGATCGACCACCAGTCAGAATGGTCGTTCCATCAGCCAAAGATTGGGCTTCACTGTAGCGAGGAAACCCTTTTGAACTACGTGGGGCGCAAAACAAAGGAGACAATTAGATCATGATACTCGTTACATTTCCAATTTTGTAAGCCATCCTCCGATGAAATGGCCAGATAGCATTGACACGTGGACAAATTAGCGACTAAATTTATAAAACTTACCTAATAAAGTTTTTGGCTCGTCTTGAAACTTCCAACAGTTTGGGTGGAGGCATTCCAAGAAGTTCTATCATACATGCGAGTTGATCTGCCTCATCTTCTCCGGGCAGCAGGGGGTAACCCGTGTACAACTCGGACAAAATACAGCCCAAACTGGAGAAAAAGTGCAAAATTTGTTCAAATTAGACTCGGTTGTTGTACGTATGTGGGAGTCGCTTGATATCCCATTTCACGCTATATTACGTCCTCCCAAACTTTTTAAATCTGTTTCTATTCTCAGAGAATTTTTGTGCATTCCGAGTACGATTATTTGCACTACGGAGGTCTTGGTCCCATTGGAGACACGGGAAAGTAATTAGCATCAAGTCAAGGTGCCTTTTATTTATTTACGTCACAGAAAGTTCCTGAATAGTTGTCGTCGTCAAGTCAAAAGTTTAAGCACTGCGAGGAGCTAATAATACGTACGGCTCTGTAAATTATAAAGTACACGAAAACGGCAACAATGGTAATTTGTTCGGTCGATAACTCAGAGGGACGAGCTTCATCCCCATAACTTTTTAATTTCTCTCCTCGAATGAGTTTAAGTGGCCATACGTTTTTCATAATTGGGGACAGCCAGGCAACGGGATACGTTATGTGACTTTTCGGAACAGCTAAATATATCACTGCTTGAGGGACTTCCACGTGCGGTAAGCTTTCTCGCCCACTGCCAATATTAATTTATACTCTTGAATCTCTAATGAATGCGATATAAATTGGTAAAAATTGGTAAAATAAGCTGAAAAATTATTTTGAAGGTGCATCTAACTGGAGATATAAATTTATTATTTAATATTCAAGTGCACTATCTGCATTGTCAAAGGCAACGCAGTAGAAATTGAACCGAGGTTACTAATTCGGAAAATGCTCCAATTTGTTCTTTATTTAAAAGAAAGCTTGGCGAATGATCCCCCACGGTAAAAGAAAATTTGATGAGATTTCTGAAGACAAATTTTAGCTATCTATTCTGACACAAGTTGAGCAACTGGAGCAATTCTAGTAAACACTTTAGAGCGATGCAATACTCTTATCATCTCCTTTATCTCCAGCTTGCCATCCTCTTCTCCTGTTTGACCTCGTACATAAAATCTAATTACTATCAATTTTTGAAGCATGTTGATTCAACTACTACAACTGCGACTGCCAGTGACAAAAACAATTCCCAGTTGGACAGACAAATTCCACTCTGCCATGACTCATGCTACTTCTTGGCACTGACATTGGCACAGATTACGTCTCTGGCGAGATGGGGAGGCTTGGGACTTGAGTTGTCGTTTGTTCACGTGAAATGTATAAAACTTTCTCCAATTTCCGCTGCCAAACTCTACACCACTCACTTCTCCTGTCTAAACAATGACATCCCAGGTGAATCAAACCACTCTGCTTAAGTCTCCAGCAGAATATACTTTTCACTTAACCATTTGGTACCCAAGAATTCAAGGTAATGTTTACGTACCTCCACATGTCGATAGGAAGTCCATATTTAGCTCCGAGAATGACCTGGATAATCATATGAACATTAGTTTTTATTTGTCCATTTCATGGATTCGACTTTTATTTTTTTTTCGAATAGCACTTACTTCAGGGGCTCGGTAAAATCTGGACTGGATGTAAGTGTACACTCTCTGGTTCTCGTAGCAGCTTGAACCAAAGTCAATCACCTGTGCAAATAAGACAACAAATATTTAATACATTTGTACATATCGTATTGAGACTCCATATATTTTGTACTCATTTAGAAACATTAAGTGCAGCCAAGCTAATTTATCTAATTTAGAAGCAACAATAAAGCCATCAATCAGCTTTTATCCCATCGAATTAAAATATGTAGAAAGCTTTTGCAGAAGGATTAATAAAAACAGCTAGTAACACATGTGCAACGTCTGTCGTATTCCATTCTGTTGGGGTCACAATGAGAAAATTGATGTGACACTCAACGCACATACTCTTTCCTCACCTTTTCTACTATAATTTCTATTTATCCGGCATCGATGACATTTTTTATCTGGGCTGCATGACTTGTGTACAGAAAAAGTCATTTCATTCATCATTCATGTGTGTGCTAGCCAACCAAGATATTTTTATCGATGCTTTTCAGCAAACAATGGCTTTCCTAATGGTGTGTCATGCTAGTCGATCAGTTTTCGTCGGTACGAAGGATGTGTGTGTGTGAGTATAAGTGCATGCGTTTGGTTACAGATAGGTTTCAATTGATAAATTCCTTATTTTTCTTACTCCGTCAAAAAGTCTCAATCGCAAAAACGAGGTTGTCAATGCTCCGCGGTGTAATTTATGTCAACAAAATGAGACCGTAATCAGTCACCATCTATTTTGCGATATTGACTACGAAGGTTACTAAAATATCTGCACAATCTATTTTGAGAATCCACCTGACATTAAGCTGGATTAGAAGTGTCACTATAATGAATATATAGTCCGAATAACGGGTATTTACAAAGTCGAAATCATAGTGACCTTTCGTGTCAATTCATCCATTACCTCTGTCTCTCTCTCTCTTTAAGCTTGAACAGGCATGAGCTTGGCACTCACACTTGGACTTACTCAAGATAACCAAGGTTAGCGTAAGATGATGAGACATATGTCTGGGACCGATGCCACCACCATGACAAAGGACAAGTGCAAGTGAGGAAAATGTGTTTTAAATGGTTTCAAGAACAACTATATGTAGTGTTCGTGAGAGAAAGCTAAACACACAAGTTGTACAATAAACAAATGTATAAAAATATTTCATTTACTGCTCAAGCTCACAAATAATTTGTTGAGCTTGTAAATCGAATGGGAATTAATGACCTTAATAAAATGTGTAATGGAATGATCATGCCTAATTCTGAAATGCAATTTAGGCGTCAAGTCAAGGCAAATTAAGTCGTTATTATTGAACTCTTTTATTTGCTTCCTCTTGAAAAAGTCTAGATTTCTTAGACATCATCAATTTAAAACCATTTTTTCTCATTACGCAGAGATTCTACATAATTAATTGGATTTTGAGTAAATATCTATGAACTTTTGAATTTAATGAAAAGATCAAATTTGCATACCGCCACTCGTCTCGAAGTACATATGAAGGTTACGAAAGAACAGAATGCATGTAAAAGTAAATAAACTGGGTTACTTAAATTAATTTGAAATTGCGTTTCTAAGCAAAGGAAAGGTCCGGAATAATTTGGAAGAAAGGAAATTTAATAAGTTAAACTCAACTTTAATTTAATTTAATTTAAATAATTTTCTGCTCGAGTAAAAATCCACATCAAGATCACCCACTTCACATAAACTACATATATCACGGTCAATTTCCATCTGTGATATTGAATGAGTAGAAATTTACAGAAAATTAAAAATTAAATTAAAGTCGCAATTATCCATTCCTGACTGAACTGAATTAAATGAAAGAGTAGTGTGCATTGAGATAATAAGTGCATTTCCGCCATCTTCTTATCTGCTCCATAGCAGAGAAAAATAAATTGCCTTTCATGCATTACTCCTCAGACAATTGCAGTACATTACACTGCGTTTTTTAACTCATATAAATTGACAACTGCATTACGGTGCATTTTCATGATCTACTCTACATTGAAAAAGAAAACAAGTGAATTACACTACAACGTCATCATTTGAGCTACACCGATGAAAACTAAACCAACAACCGACCAATACTGCACCAACTCACAAAGAAATCCAAGCTGCCTAATTTTCGTTTCTCGAAATGCATTTACATAAATCGAATTTTCAACCAAGTTAATGGATATGTATTTATGTATGCAGCTCCCTCCTCTTGTCTTCCCTCTGATGATGATTTTGCTCACAAGTTGATTTCTTTGCTCTGTGCTAAATGAAAAAGGCGGAAGATAAATAAGCAATTTTCAAACTTGAGAGTTGCACGGTTTCTCTTTAAATTTCAAAGGTTGCGTGTATGTAGACATACCAACACTAAATTGTTTAGAATGATTAAAGAGCAGATTATGTTGTAAATATACACAAATCAAATCTCTTGTTGTACATAACTTGCAAAACTTACTTAATCTTTTGTTTGCTAAAATGTAATTTTATTACTTGTTGAAACTTTTCTACTGAATTTAACAAATTTATCTCAATGCAGCAACACAAAACAGGCAGAGGAGGAGAGCCGAGGAGGGGAACAGATTTTCAAGTTTACCAACGGACATTCAAGTCACCATCAGCCACAACATGCAACTTTCCTTACTTTTGTATTCCGCCATTTACTGCGAGATAAAACAACAGTGAGCAAAATTATAACAAAAGGCAGCACTAGAAGAATTACTTCAATTTAAAAGTTATGAAGAAATCGTGTCCAAACAATCTCGAGTGTATTTTAAAAGTAGTTTTGCTGCTGAAAGGAACATAATAATAATACACATTTATATTTATCGAGAGAGAGAAACTTTTCATGCTCTTTATTTTCATGTCATTTCCATCGGTGTGGTCTCACCCATTTTGTAATTAATTCTGAATTTATTGCCCCACATGACTAGCAAATTCATCATTCGACAGCTTCCCAGCCCATTTATCAGTGGATGTTAATATGTATATTGGTTATTAAGGAGAGGCTGCATACATACATTGATCGCATTTACGTGAAAGCCGAACGATGCGTTTTAGCTTTTAATTCAACCTTGTCGTGAAAACAGTTACAATAAAATATAATTCAACTTTCTGTCCTCTCGTTATTCGTAGAGTGCACAAACCCTCGTTGCAAACTAATATGACACAAAATTAAAATTAAGAACATGCATGGTAATGGAACTCCAAATCAAACACCCTTTTGCATTACTCTATTATTCTGACGTATTGATTATGACTCTTGATTACTGTAGACATGCATTTTTATTGTAATTTAATAATACATTATAAAATCTAAAAGTTTTCATACACAGTTGTAAAAATTCTCAGAAACAAGAAAAACCAAACTGGTTTGTTGTTAACCGAACCAACCAACCAGCTATAGCCACTTAAACATGGTTTTACTAACTACCTGACACTTAATGGTTAGAAGAATATCGTTTTTGTTCTTCTTTGCAATCATGAATTTTAATAATAATCCTGTAAGCGAAATACCAATTTCATCCCAACAATGAGAACCGACAACCGCTTTCGGGTCGCAGAGTTGATGGTTGTTTATCCTTTGGTTCTTTAATGTTTCGCGACACTTTCTCTCGTTCCCAACTTTTAGAATCAATTTTCTCATCCCATTATTCTAAATGGTGTGCAAAACCTGTGACAGTTTTAATACCGCGATACTAACACCGTTGCGTTCGAGACCTCCCAGCAAGCATCTTTATGGTCCCCAGTCCAGCGATATATATCCCGTAAAATAATAACCATTATTGACTGTCAACCGCGTCTCCCCATTTTTAACAGTGACTGCATTGGAACCATTCACGTGTGGTTCTGCACTACTTAGTTTGCAAATAACGAATTTACCCCTCTACCAGAACCGAAAGGAGGGAGCAGATGTTTGATTTATGTGCGACAAAACTACTGCAAAGCAGTATAAATGGATATGCATCCATAGTATGTGGGAGCATCTAGCAGACAATTTTCATTTGCACTCTGCAGAATATCTGTACGTATGTATTGTATTTAGAGGGAGGATAAGTTTGGGACGGATGAGTTGCAAAAAGAAGCAGGAGGAATGATGAATAATCTCTCCCTCTTCGTCGCTCCTTGTCTTAATAGGTTTTAATGCATCAAGAGCTTAGGTTACACAGAGACGAGGCTGCATCTGTAAGTAGAACGAATTGGGGCTTGAATCCCAGTAAAGAGGCTGAGGCAAATAAGTGGGCAATAAAAAGTGGTTGGCCAGAGTTGCTTCGGTTGGTTGTTCAAAAGCGAATTGCATAACGGGACTGTTGACAGATAAACTCAGTGCACTTTTGCCATTTTTTCCCTGTTGAAACGTGGTTTTCAGTTCATGTTGCGGATATGACCATAGGTATTTATCCACGTATTAGAATAGGTTAACTTTTTGCAAGGAGAGAGGAGGAGACGAGACCATCTACACAGCACATATATGCAAAGGTACATGCAAATTATTTATTTTGCGTACAGGAAACAGTTTGCACAGTTGCATCACTCTTTTGATAAAACGTAATGAAAAAACTCTAGGCTTTCCTACCATCAAAGGAACAACGTCCACGCAGCTCTTTGATCTTCTTAACTAATTTATTTTGATAGTCGTACTTCTCTCTATTTGTCATCCATTAACCTTTAACCCTGTAGCTTTCTTCCTTAAGAACAATATTTGCGGTGAAAAAGGTTAGCTTCTAAACTTAACTTTACTGTCAACTACTTGGGTTGCAAAATTTCATTTAGACGGAGCCAGGTTAATTACTTTTACATGAATAATTACTCTTCTTGGTAAGCAAAAGTAAATATCTATGCAGAAGCAGCAGCAAAGGTAAAATGTTCTTTGAAGTAAAATGTCGCGTTCGTTTTTGATCATGAACGTTGGACCCATTTGCACATTATCTGATGGCGATATACCAAAATTATTGATTTACCAAACTCGAATCACTACTTTATTTGCTAATTATTCTTATATTTACTAATTCTGCCCTTTAGCTGAATTATTGCTTAAAATTCACATTTCCATCACATTTTTTATTTTCTTTCCACTAACTGC